AAAAATTCATTCCAAATGTTAGATTAAATTCATTCGGAAAATGCATATACTATCGGATTTTTCCGAACCGAATTGCATCATAAAATTTAGCATAAGTTAATTTCTAATATTCATACTTAATTGGAATTGAGAATTAAAATAAGTAGACACACTAAGTGTCCTAAACCGACCAACAACACTAAAAGTATCCTAATTATCAAACATAAACCCTTGAATACGGTAATAAAAAAGTAACAAAAAATAAAGTAAGCTAGTTATAAAATTATTCAAAATACAACAAAATCCAAAATGTTGGTCCGATATCTAACAAACCGAACCTTCCAAAATATTAGTCTCACATCCATCAAACCAGTTGCACCAAAATATTAGTCCCATCACCATCGAATCAGCTGCAACATCATGTCCGTTATGTGTTTCTTAAATCACAACAAAAAGAAAACATTACCAATCCATTCATTAAACAATTTATCATGTTTAAAGTGTTTCATTATCATTTTGTGTTACTCGTTATGTTGAAGCACTACCACTTCATCCAAGTTTGTGTTCTCTATAAAGCAACACAAAATTTATAAATTAGTAATTCATATTGTATCAAACAAACATGAAAAAAATAAATACAAGTGCCTTACCATTCTACTTATAAAACATTTTTCTCCTTTTGGATAGGTTCTTCTGTTATGGCTAAGTTATTTACAAATTTTACAACTTACCGTATATGATTTAATTCCCTTATCCTTCTCTAATGTTGCCTCTCCATGCTCATTTCTCCTATTATTCTTTGGTCTACCAAAGTTTCTTATAAGGGTTGAGGGTAGAATCTTCTCAACTAGTTTAATTGGTTCGAATCCTCTTAAGGTATTGGATGAACTACATATTTATACATCTTAAGAATTACAAATGACTCTCATCACAATAATCCTCCAAACTTTTGCTTTTATAGCCAATCACTACGACTTGCATGTTTACATGACAATCTACTTTTTTCCCACCATTTATAGCTACAAGTCTTGTTTCTCATATTCATCGCATATTTGTACACTATTTCCTCTAATTCATACACACCATTTCTTCCGACAAACAATTTTAGAGACCTTGAAGATGGTGTAATTTTTTATAGTTTGTTTCACTTTTGGACAAAATTTATTAATTATATTAGAAAATACTTAATCAATTGCATTAATTAGTCCATATTTGTGCATAAAAGACAAAAGACGATCACGTGTTAATAAAGGGGAAAAAAGCAAAATTATTGAAATAATTCTTTTTTCGTACCTATTTTTTATCTATCCGTCATAAATGTCTAAGGCCTTGCATCACTCTCGAAACTAATACATATCTTTAAATATTTCAAAAAGAACAACCAAGATTCATTAGACTCACTTTCAATAATAGCAAATGCAATAGAAAAAAGACCTTTGTTTCTATCAAGTCTAATTGTATATAAAAGTACTTGATCATATAGTCTTTTTTAAATGGCAACCTTCACTCTAATAAATGGTCTTCCCGCTTCTAGAAACCTTACTTTCATCCCATGCAAGCAAATGAATATCCTTTTAAACTATAGGCTCGACCATGGGGTATATATCGTTACACATATGTGTTGTAGTAGTTCAATATACCTTTTTAGGTAATAGAAAGATTCTTCATATGTGTCTTCATTGGCCAATTTTGCTTATAACTTGGCCCTATGTAATTTCCATTCATTTGGATTAACCCTTCATTTAGTAAAACGTTTTTCATAGTATCAAAACTCATATATGGATCCCTCCTCAAACATTTTGCTAATTCCTTCTTAATCCACTTTGAGTTAACATTACCATTACACTCGTTCACTTAACCTTACACAAGTGTGGTTATCATTAAGGTTTTCATCATGAATGATTTATTATCAAGTGTTCATGATGCACGAAACTTCTATTCATGACCCTCTCTTTCACATTAAGCAACCAATCTAACCTCATCATTTTTTTTTCTACAAATCGAATAGCCACCATAAAGTGCATGAGTTCTTAGTGCATGTCCATTCATCTTTATTCTTAAAGATATGACCAACCACAAAGTTAAACTTCTCATTAGGGCTTAGTTCTTTAAACCTCTGTGCTTTTTAGCAAAGTTTTAATCGCATCAAATGTCCCTCAACTCTTGACATTTTCTTAATGTGACCTTTGTATTATTTTTTTTATTTAATCTCTCCCTATACTCTTTATTATTATTTTTTTTTTAATGTGACTCCTTCAACTCGTTTTCTAGTCAATTTAGCCATCAAAATTGATAGCTAGCATAAAATAATCCACATGGCATGACATGTCATATTTTTTTGCCACGTTAAAAAATAAAAAAATATATATTTTATTTTTTCTCCTCTCTCTCTCTCTCTCTATTAACCCAACATCCAAAACCAGTTAGCTTGTATGCTATGTTTTACACCTCAGTTGTCTCCACTTCTGCAGTCATCCTATGGATTTATTCACTACTTCAATCGTCGAGTAGCTGCTCTTGCAAAATTAAAAATAAATAAATAAATAAAAGAATTGGATGTATCACTATTTAGTCATTGTAGCTACACACTCATTTTCTTTATTCATGCACACCCAAGTGCACTGTTTGGCTTTTCTTTTTGAATCTCACATTTGTTTCTCCGTTTTGTGTGGCGTGTGTGTTGCTTTGCTTCCAGCCCCAGCCTTTTTATTAATTTCTATCTTGCCATTGACTTTATTTATTCATTTACTTATTTAGCCTTAACACATCTTTTATCTTTTTGTTTGTTGCTTCTGCTGCGTTTTTTCTTTCTTTCAACGTATCTCTCTCTACCATTAACACGTTTCTTTCTTTGTTTTTGGTTGCTGCATTTTTTCTGCCCTTAAACCCAGCTCTTCTCCGTGTATTTTTTTTTTTTCATTTGCTTATTATAATTATAATTATATATATATAAAAAAAAACTAAAAGATCTGAGGTGATACTGTTCATTCATTGTAGCATTACCTTTTTTTTTGTTTTTTTAGGGCTAGGCTGCTGGAACTGTTTCTTCATTATAAATAATTTATTTTTATACTTTTTATCATAAAATTAGGTGTGAAAATATTAAAAAAAAAAAATTTACATACAGTTTGATCGTAATAGAATATATATAATATTTTTTAAGATTTTAGTTTGAATATACATATTTGATTATATTATTTTTATTATTTAAAATTTATTTCTTTAATTATTTGTTTCTTATTAAAATTCTCATTGAATTAATTTTTAAATTTTATATAAGTTTATTTATTAATAAATTTTAATTTTTTTATATATGGATTTTGAACTAAAATTTTAGAACATGATTTTTTTATTTTTTTAAAATATATTATTATAATTTATACATTTGATTATTTTTATAATTTTTAAATAAAAATGGCATTGTTACATCTATAAAATCTAATGTGTGTGTGTGTGTGTGTGTGTGTGTGTGAGAGAGAGAGAGAGAGAGAGAGAGACAGACAGAAAGAGCTAAAAGTGTTTTTTAGATAATTTGACTTACTTTTTTTAAAAAAATAATAACCAGATTAAAAAAATAATTTGATTTAATTTTTTAAAAAAATTCACAGGTTTTATTTAGTTATATATATAGTTTTGTCATGTATAAATTCTCTTGAGGGGGAGAGAGAGCTAAAAGTGTTTTTTAGATAATTTGACTTACTTTTTTTTGAAAAATAATAATCAATTAAAAAAATAATTTGATTTGATTTTTAAAAAAAATTAATAATTAATTAAAAAATTCACAGGTTTTATTTGGTTATATATATAGTTTTGTCATGTATAAATTCTCGTGAGGGGGAGAGAGAGCTAAAAGTGTCTTTTAAATAATTTGACTTAATTTTTTTAAAAAATAATTCGGCTCAATTTTTTTAAAAAAATTAATAATTAGTTAAAAAATTCACGAGTTTTATTTGGTGTTATATGTATAATCAAAATTTATAGAAACTAATTTTATAGTAGTTTTTATTTAAATCTATTTACTTCGATATATTCCATGCGATTTAAGTGAGTTTTTTTATATTTTATTTATTTATTTTATATACTCTAAATCTGCTAATTACGATATTTATAGTTTTGTTAGAAATTAATTATATCTACACACATAACATCAATTATTTGTTATTTATTTTTTCATGTTCTAAAATTTGTATTTTTAAATAAAATAATTTAATTAATGTTTTGAAAGAACCTATTAATTATTCAAATACAAATTTTTATACTAATATTATAAATTATTTTGTTAATAAATATATATAGATCAAACAAGTTTACTTAATATATAGATTCGATTTATATTAATCTTCGTAAACAAAACATTTACTCGCATCATAACATACGAATCGTTAAACATGTGTATCTAATGATTATTTGACCGCAGTGTGACGTGGGTATCTAACCAGTTATCTCTTAAACGAAAGGCATATTTGAGTGGCTCACTTTTGATTTTGAATTATTTCTCTCTTCTAATGATCCTCCATGCTCTGGTTTAAATTTGTGTCAGCATCTTATTATTGTGCACTTTGCAGATTTGGGCAGCCTATTAAAGTTAACTGGGCATATGCTAGTGGTCAGAGGGACGACACATCAGGTTGGCTCTTCCTCTTCTTTTTTTCTTTTCTTTTTTTCTTTTTATGTTTTATTTTATTCTTAACTCGGATTTTTTGGTATGTAAAAGCATGAATTTCATTTTAAACTAGTACCGGAGCATTGTCTCTCGGACAAACAAAAAGACCAAAACATAGACCGTATTCAGCACGCTGAAGTGAAAAACAAACTATAGTAGATTTTCCTTCAACAAATTAATAAATATCGATTGTGTTGTTTAAAGGCCCGGCATATCGGGATCTCTTGCCAAATTTAGCTATAACGCTCCATGTGTCTTAATGAGAGCTGAAGAATTTCTTTTTCCTATTCTTTGGTTCAAATGTGTGAAACAAAAACTGTAAAAATCTTGATCTTGTGAAGCCCCTTCAACTCTTACATCAATGGTATGGGTTCAAGTGGAACACTTGACAGGTTGGCTTGTATGACCTCTTAGATGCAGCCAGCTCAAACTTGTTAATAGCTGCTTCATTTTCTTCTAAGCTTGTCTGGACAAAATAGCGAATCCACCAGGACGAACTCCTCATTTTGGCCTGCACATCATGGTTAAAACTAAGTGCTTGTTAAGAAACAAATGTACAAATCATCATAACCATTATAGTCAAATGAACATGATGCAAAATGCACAACCATTAACGGACTTCCCGGCCAAGTAATGAACAAATCATCATATTTATGGCTTTTCCATTTCATCTGTGTTTGGAAAATTTTTCAATTTCACCCGTCTTAATAATTTTTCAATTTGGAGTGTGTACGATCAAATTTTTGTCAAAAATCAAAATAAATCAAAGAGAATAAATAAAGAGATTGAATCGTATGAGCCTATTTTACAATGTTTAACAATGAAAGTTAATAAGGATCTTGACCTTTCTGGGCTTTGAATTGGTGCAGCAACAATTTTTTGTGTGACCTCAACCTAGTGTATTCCTATCGAATCCCTCCCCAAACCAACCACCTTTGGAAAAAGATGATGTTGATTCTCATACCCTATGTCTAAAGCTGGCAACAAAGAAGAAAACTCTTTATCTGGCAGATTAAATTATAAGAAATTTTTTAAATCAAAATCAAATATTTGTGAACAATGTAGATAGCATTTGAAAATGATAGCTTCTTTATGGCCTAGAATTCCTATCTAACTATTTATTCTTTCAGATCTTTACATTGTTTGGCTAGATTCTTTTTTTATTTGCTGGATATTCCTCTATACTTGACATCTTCTTAGTTCGTGCTGCCATAGATATCACCCAGCTTTCTTGTTTCATCAGTGGCTCTAGACTAATGGAATTAACAATGCAGCCAAATCCAAAACAAAGGCACTAGTAGATTAATAGTTTTACGCATGTTTGTCTGGTTCAATTATTGCATTTATTTTAAAAAGTTGTGCTCGTAAGGTTTAAAATTCACGTCAACTATGAGAACATTAAAGAATTAAATAAGAACTTCATTGTCACAGAATACCATTAGCAGCTAACATTGTGTTCCTGAAATAGCAGTTGATCTAGTCCCGATAGAAGACACATAATTTTCTCCTACTTCAGCTAATATGGAGGTTCAATAAGCAGGCTACAGCATGGGCATTTTCAAATCATGAGATTTATGAGATATTATAGGCCACTTCCAAATCCAGATCATCTTATCAAATTAATACTATAACAAAACCAGCAAAGAGCAGAATGTGATCGTAAAAGCAGAAGATAGTCACTCACCGGCCGTCCAAATTTGGACAATTCAGCAACTTTAACTTTCTGTTGACCAGGGTAACCTAAATATGAAATGAAAGAAATGAACTTCACGTAATATAAGAAAACAAAATATCTAGTATTAATCATGTTTTAAAGAAGTGCAGTTAAAGCATCATCTATTTGAGAAAAGATTTAATGCAATTTCTCGACGTCCCAACAAAAATAGGAAATAAGCAACATCCATGCGCAGTCATTTAGAGGTGCATTTGTAATACATGGGATATTGTATCTCCTATGCTAAGTCGTAATCACAGTCCTCATTCTTATGTATCATAAGAGGGATTATCGAAGAGATTTTAGTCTAGCATCAGCATGTTTTTGGTTATTCGCTTAAGCTAAAAGTTACCCTAGAGCTGAGGTGTTATGTTCACACAAGCACACAAGAGAGACTAGTTAATGTATTATCACTTCAATGAAGCACGCCATCAATGAAATGATTCATCATGTTAACATACCTGCAAAAATAACAAGGCCATCAGCAGCCACCCTTGCCAAATCTGGAAGAGTCTTGTTCAGGTACTTTGGAGACAGATAATCCAGAGCATCTGACACAATAACAAGAGAGAATGATTTTGCCCTGTACGGCAGAGGGAATTTAATATCAGCCACACGGACAATGCCTTTACGAATAAGTCTCCTGCAATTTGCATCGGAATCCTCTATATCATATGGTTCCACACCCCATGCTTCAGTTTCTTCTTCTTTCAACAATTTAGAGATGATTGAACATGTATCAGGGCCAACGTGCAAAACTTTGTGCATGCCATCACCATATGCTTTCTTAAGAGCAGGTATTGCCCTCTGAACTTCTGATGTGCATGAAAAATCACCTAAACATAGAATGAAGTTCAATCACTATAAAGAGCTAATACCTGACAAAAGGAATATTAATAAGACTGCTTTACTTTCAGTGCTCTCAACACCAAGATATATAATATATGGCCAGACATTTTAAGACCTGACTAGCAAATAAAAGCATAAATGTTGTCCATTCAAATGCTAGAAATCCATCAAAATCCCAGTGAATTCTATCTATATAATAGAAGGTAAAGAATACACTAAGACAAGAGTTCTCGACACGTTCGTTTTATTATAGGTTTCTCTGGTTATGAATGGTTTGGGCTATTGGATAAAAAGGAAATGCACCTTAGTCAAGAATCACCAACCTTTGATGCAAAACTAACAAAGTAGGAACTCAACTATCAGTTGTTTATACCAAATTTAATGGTTGAAATAATGATTAATAATGTTACTAATTTCACAGTCCAAAATTATCCCACTTCATAAACATAGAACAACACATCTAGTCAGAGAGTCCTTGATTTGGCATAAAACAGCAAGCTACCAGTGCTTGTATAAATTTGAGTTTACCTTGGACCTTATTGAATGCTGCTTCTTTGTTACCACCGAATCTACCTGTAAGTGGTCGTATATAAGCAGATTGATTTAACTAAAATTATTAAACAAAATGTAAAGAAATTACAAAAGGGCCAAAAAGAGAGACAGACCTGGGCCACTGTAAACATAGGCAATAAGAAGGAAGGCTCCCTGTAATGGTAATAATAAATTGATTATTACTTATTCCTCCAATGTATCCTATCCAAATAAATAAAAGAAAAGGAAGAAATCGTACCAGAAGGAAAAGAGCAATGGGTAAGAAAGGGGAAGTGCGTGATTTAGAATACTGTAAAGCCCCTGAAAACGGGAAGTTTCCACTGTCCACAAATCGCCGGCTCGAACTTACCTGCCTTCTTGACATCATTATTATTTATTTGATATATATATCAGCTGCTGGTGCTGCAATGCAAACACTATACAGCAGTTAGATATTAATACAAAAGAAAACAGACTGAATTCATCTTCTCTTTTACTTGCACTGCTACGCCTATGAGATGAAGTAAGTGTAGAGCAGAATACGAAAAAACAAAAGAAAGAAAGAAAGAAAAACAAGAATTGAGAGTTAGAGGTAGACTGGTAGTGAAAACAAAAACTGCTTCAAGGAGGAGAAGCGGTCTGAAAGTTCAGAGAGATAGTGATAAACCTTAGAAATATTGGATGAAGAAGAGCAGGAACATTGGATTTGGATCTTAGATCTGCGTTACTGTCTCCGTCTTCGTCTCTGTCTCTGTCTCAGTCTCTCTCTCTTTAGAGTTTAGAATTCAGACAGAACAGATGCAGTAGAAGCATCAGGCTTCAGTAAAGTCCAGTTAATTAACGGTTCAGATTCAACTACTGGGTCTGTCTCTGGATTTGCGGGTGTAACTATCAGGTGAGTTTAATAATGTTGATAGAGTAAACTATGACTTAGTCCTTATAGTTCATAAAAAAGAATTAATCAATCCTTGTAGTATAAAGAATGAATAAATAAATAATCATTTGACAAATATTGGCCTTTTTCAATTTAGTAATTTTTTGTTTCAAAAAAATGCCTTTTTTCCTGTCTTAATATTTCCCCTTTCTTTCTTTCTTTTGAAAAAATAAAAAATAAATTTAATAAAAAAATTATATAAAATTGATAAAAAGATTAATTTATAAACGAACTCTAATAACATGTTTAAATCAATTCTTTAAAAAAATTGAATTTCAACAAATAAAGTTGAAATTAATTGATTTTGGATTCAATGTCCGTTTGGAATAAATTTAATGGAATTGAATTCAATAAAATATTTTTGAATTGTATTAAATAGTAAATAAAAAGATAGTGTCGGTTTGTCATATTACCCTAAAAAGTAATCCTCTCAACAAACATTCCATTTTAAGATCAAATAAATACTAATAAACCACTTTTGTTTATAATCCTTAAAAATACAAGGATAAGATCATAATTTATCCTTATTTACGAAGCTTTCAACATCATTTTTTGTTTAATTCTGTTTACTTTTCTTGTCTTCTCTTTTAATCACTGTCTCTTTTATTTCTTGAAAGAAAGATATTTTATAGAGTAAGGATTGTCAATAGACTTAGAGAATACTATATTTTCAACGATAATTACATGTAATTTTCAGTAAATTATAATTTCAAATTCTTCAAAATTCTTCAAGTATTTAACTCTATAGATCAATTCTTTGATTAGTTTGTTGGCTTCAAACGGAAGAATTGAATGAAATAGATGAAATGAATCGATTCTAGTCAATTCCTCCATGTTCCAAACAAGCTGGAAAAACAAGGATTGAATATAATTTCTAAAAATATAAGGATTAATTAATTATTTTTATTAAACCAAAGGGACTAAGTTATCATGTTAATAATCCGCACCATTTGTAAGTTGACGGTGATTGATCATTGATTGAAATGAAGCGCGTTTCTCTGTCTGTTTGTCTGTGTCGGCAACGCAATGCGCTCCTAGAAACGATGTCGTCCAATATGTTAAAGAAACTGATTGTCTAGAAACGATGTCGTTCAGTATGTCAAAGAATCTGACTATGTTAGGATCATATCTCCTATAGTCTCCATTAATGTAATACTTAACACAATTTTCTCCAATTATTTGACCCCCAAAATGCACTTCGTATCTTATTTGCCAAGCCATTTTGCATCAAAATATAAAGTCACTAAAAGTAATTAATTTGATTTAAATAGACTAATATCGAAAACACATACTTACACATATAATTTTAGCTACATTTTCTAAATTCAACACAAATTAAAGTTACCTAAAGCCATTAGTTTAACAAAAAAAATTAAAAGAAAAATAGAAAAAGAATGTACCTTTTGGGTCCACTTTGGGGAGAAATCTTATAATACACCGGGAGTAACTAGTGATATATACGAGTAGTTACTCCATGGGTCCACTTTAGGGAGAGAGATAAACATACAAAAAAAAGAAAGAGAAACAGGAGAGAGAAAATAAAAAAATTTGAACGGACGTGGAAATCTTCTTAACACTTTTGATGATATAGATGTAATTTTTATCTTTTTTTATGTATCTATCTCTCTCCTCAAAGTAAACCCATGAAATAACTACTGTATACGTCACTATTTACTCCTAGTGTATTATAAAATTTCTCCTCACATCGTGTTCTTGCATCCTAAAGTTTTTAATAAACACGATTCATGACCCTAGATTTATGGATTTCATAACTAAATTCATAATCAAAGTTCGGGTTTTGAAGAATTTTGATTTAATATTATTTTGTTTTTTCAATTTCTTAAGTTTAAAATGTTGATTGTTAGATACAGTAGTTGGAGAGAAGGACTTGTTAATTAGATCTATTTCACTTTTTACAATTACATGTTCAATTCGTGTTCATTTAACACGTGCATGTCACGTGACTTTAATTGGGGTTTTTTTTTTCATATTATTTTATTTTGATAGACATTTTGAAAATAAAGTGTGATCATAAGACTCGATTGAAAAAAACATAATGACAAAATATCTAATATAAAAATAAATTGAAAAATGATCTAATATTCAAGAACAAATGGAGAGAAGTTAGTTTTATAAAAACAAATTAAAAACAAAATATTAGAATATAATAACAAATTGAACTAATTAGTTCAGTTTACCTATTCCTCTCCTATACATACAATGCGTTACTCCCAACTTTTTGCTTCAAAATCTCTCCCTTTGCCTTGACAATCTCTGAACAAAAAGTAAATCATCTCCATCTTTTCAAAACAGTACCTCCAACAACATTTTTTCTCATACCAATAACAAATATTTATTCGATGGAATACAATAGAATGCCTCTAATTGATCATCCATACCTTAAAACTTTCATCTTGTTTCAATAATACTTGAAGAGGAATTAAAAAATGTACATATGATGAACTCTTGTCACTGTTCAGCAGCTGCTATGCCAGCCTCCTCCGTACGTGGGGGTCTCCATTTTCGATCAAAAAGCTCCTTCCCACTACGTTCTGTTTCCTTAACTTCTCATCCTGAGTCTTCAGCCTTTCATCAATGAGTTCCAGCAATTCTTGCAAGCCAACTCCTGTAGTAGCAGATATTTTGACATGTGGGCCGTGCTGAGCCTGCCATTGTACGTCTTTTTCCATCCCCAAGTCATCTGAGGCCTCACCTTGTCGCTCATCTAAAGTCTTCAACCAATGGTCACCCACCATCTCTTGGTCATCTCCTGACAACAGCCAGCCATCAGAGTAATCATCTTGCTCACTGTCTATCGTCTCTTCAAAATCTCCTTCACTTCCTCCTGAGAAACCATTGATCTCAACATCTTCTGCTCCTGTTGACAGCTCAGATGCTATGCCACCACCTTCATCACCCCACAAACTGCTAGCCTCACCATCAGCACTCATTTCTTCCTCATAATCAATCTGAATAGTTGGCAAAATCAGATATTGTACAGTGATCTCTGGGTATACTCTTGTTCATTGGCATCTTCCATTTTTAGTTAATATTTCAAGGGAGAAGGATAGAGTACCTTGTTCCAGACTTCAATCATATTCTGTAACTTCTCTTCTGACACTCCTATTTGCTGAAGAACTTGCAACACTGTTGCTCGATGCTCCTCAATGTTAGGAGCAGTAGAGTCAATCAAATGCTGCATTAGTGTTATCAAGATACATCAGATGTGCATTGACAATGCTCTCTATATATGATGAACCATATAAAATATTTGCTGGGAGATGCATTAAAAGAAAATAAATATATATGCCAATCGACCGTGGCTTAAATCAGGTATCAATAGCAGCAGGAAGAACAAAAACATGACTAAAAGCATCAGGGAAAAGTCTAATTCTAATATGCCCACCCTCTTATCTGATATTTAATGTTTGATGTCAACTTTTTTAAGCCAAAAATTGACCATAATAGATATTACTCAACAAAACTATCTTGATACTGGCTAAACCAAAATCCATGTGCTAACTTAGCTTAGTGTAGCCAGTGCCAAGCCTGGAAAAAGGAGAAGGGTTGCAGTAGGCTGATAATCAGCATAAAACTTTGTCCTCTCTCATGTATGGATTGTGCGCACCAAGGCATAGGCTACATCAACACCCAGGTGTACTGCTAAATGAGCACGGGGTTCCATCACATTGCCACATGCATGGGAGTTGGTACAGTATATTCTTGAAATTGGGACAGATTTTCTTTATGATCGCACTGAATTGTGCAAAAGGATTGATATAATTGACACCGACTAGTTTGGGATTGAAGCTTTGCTGTTGTTGTATAGGCTAAACTAACTTGAAAAAAATGATAATACCTAATTAATTATTCTTGGTTAATGTATGTGTATTTGACGTCATTTGTCTTATTTTCGTTTCCTTTTCTTAATTACTTAATTATCTTTACCTGTTTTTTTTGCATCTCCATTTTAAAATGTTGCCATTTTGGGATGAACGAGTAATAATATTAGAGTCAAAGTCAGTAACAAAAGATCCTACCATTTGGAAAATGATCATAAAGTTAGCAAATGATAAGGTAACCACTGACTTACCACAAGGAGGTCAGCTTCCACCGCTTCCTCTAGAGTTGCATGAAATGCTTTCACTAACTAAGACAGTAATTACCAATGGTGAGAGAATAATGGATATGATAAATGAATCTAATGCAACTGCACATGCATTTCAGTCACCTGCACCGGCAAATCTGATATAAATCCCACTGTATCACCAAGAAGCACTTTCCTCCTGAAAATTATTGCTCAATCAGATCAGTGGGAAAAAAGAATTATTTTCTACATTCAAGAGTTTCACTACCTCACACCACAGAACATGATCGAAAAACAAATTAGATTCAATACCAATCTTCTTACCCTGAAGGAAGAACAACACTTTTTAATCTAGTATCCAGTGTTGCAAATAATCTGCACGAACAGCAAGTCCAAGTAACTAATAGAGGACAAAAGCAATATTGACATTTCCAAATGCCAAAGCCTGCTTCTAATGTGGAGCTTAAATCATTATCATTTGATCAAGGAGATGAAATACCGAGAATCACTGTAAAGATCAGCCCCTGAGAGTGCACTAACTAATGTCGATTTTCCCTGTAAAGGGAAAAGGAAAAAAAAAAAAAAAACAAAACAAAATTATTGCTGAGGATATTTAGGTTTTATGCATGGTAACAATTTCAGGAATCTGATCACATGTTGATCACTTACAGCATTTGTGTATCCTACAACAGCAACAGTGGCCAAACGTTGATCATCCAATTGACCATGCCTCTTGCGAGAAGCACGGTGCAAAGCTCGAGTACGGCGAATCTCTTTGATTTGGGACAGCAAAGTCTCACGCCGTTCTAATATTCTGATATTGGAGTTCCATAAAACGAACATATGAATATGCAAATAATAGCTAAATTGTATGTCATAGACACAGAAACATGAAGAATTGTCTAGTCTGTGAAAGGGGTGAGCATTCGGGTAACTCGGATAAAAAATTGTCACCTTGGGTAATTACCAGAAACTTTTTTTCCTCACCCCCAACATTTATTGTTCTTTACCCGAATTTGCTTCACCTGATTGAGTAATTCAAGTAATTTGGCTAACCCGAATGTTTTACCCATTACACCATTTTTATTTTTTTATTTTTAAACATAAAATGCAATATATATATATATATATATATATATATATATATATATATATATATATATTACAATTAACTAACCGAAATTAGGTCCAAGGAAAATCACAAGCCCATTAATTTTAAAAAAAATTATAAAAAAACTATATTTTGGATTTTTTTGAATAGTGCTCACTACTCAACTCCCATCTATGATTCAGGATCTCCGAATAACGTTCTGCCATTTTTAAATAGTGAAATCCAATAATCCACAAATAAAACTAGCCAATTTTCCTTGGAATCAAGTAGAAATTCCACTCCAATCAAATGAGGTGGAAGGTAACATCAAGAATGTAATCATTTTTTTACGAGTGACTCACGAATACCTATGCCAAACATAACTTTTTAGAGAAACAACTTTGTGAAACAAAATAAAAATAATTGGGAGGTGTAACAAACAACTGTTTCGCATCATATTATGTTGTGAAACAAAATGAAGCCTTCTAATCTACTTCTAAGCAATGGCAATCCAGGACGATGTAAGAGCACAAGATGGAATGAGATGCGACTTTAAACAATGTTAAAGTACAATAAAACAATATAACCTGACAAAAGTGTCTCAGGAGTTGATTAAATTCCAGAATTTTTTATGAATCTATTAATGACAGAAACCTGGCAGTTGAGCAATATAGAAGTCTGGAAAGCATAACAATTACAGGAACATATGATCCAGATTTATTTTCTATTGAAAATCTAATTTTACAAAATGCTCAAGAATAGCTTCTTAGGGCGTCCTTCTGGAAAAATAAAAAATGCACTCATTATGATAAAGAATTCAGAGTTGCATTCATTATACCTTGCTTTTTTGTTTTTTCTGTAATTAGCACTACAATAATAAACTGCAAGATGTCTTCGTATAGCATTTTTCACAGAAGACAGCCCATGTATCAGTATTTTACATCGTAGCATGCTTGATACCAGAAAGTTGCAAGCAGAAGCAGCCTAGACATCTGGAATTCCCTCCAAAATATGTACTTATTATACTTCATATAAGAACTGACCAGATTTGAGTACCATCATGTTAAAATACAAAAATTAGACTCAAGGAACAAACCTTCGACGCTGAAGCTGAAGTTCAGTTTCTCCAGCACCACTGGTAAAGCCACGTCCTCCACTTCCTCTCCTGTCAACATTTTCCATGCAGATCAACAATTGTCCTACCAAATGGTAACTGATTTATATGAAAACAAGCATGTGCAAGCACACCCACTCTAGTGCATAATGAGAGAGAGAGTAGGAAGGGTGGATTTCTGTGCCAAGAGTAGTCATACTTACATTCCTAAACCAAGTATCATTCAAGCTAAGCAGGTTATAAATGCAAAAACGAAGTTCAAGCAAAGAAACATATTAGGAGCCAAATATCCAGGGTTCAAAAAGTTGGAAACATGGAGCTATTGTCAACACCAAAACAATAATAAAAACAAAAGTGAAGCAATATAAAAGCCATCAAATACTATCCCTCCTCAAAATCAAAAGTTGCAAAGAAGCTATGCCTCCCTGAGAACATGTAATTTACAGTGAAATAAACTATGCAGGGAGATAACTGGTTGAGATCAGCAAGTCCTTCTCTCTGATTGATGGTTTAGTTGATAAAGGTAGTTTTCAAGAAAAGGCAGGATAAGGTAATGCAACTCTACCACGAATTTTTACGGAACAGGTTCCAGTTCAAAAAACGGCTTTTCCTAAGTAAACTAAGTTGGATAATGAGTTTAAATTGCATGAGATGTATTGCAGCCATAGCAAAACTCTTCAAGATGAATCGAATTAAGCTTTGTCCATCTCAAAAAAAAAAAAGGACAAAATTATCTGTTTTTGAACTGCAGGACAAGGTTGTTGTAAACAGGGCATACTAGTGACCAATGAAGATAAACTTCCAGCTATAAGAAGCTCTCAAGAAAGATAAACACATGAACAGGGTATGAGGGCACTGTGGCTTAACACACAATAACTATAGTCAGAAATGAAAATGAGAACCATTTAATAGACTTGCATTAAGAAAACTTTTCTAATCAGAACAATAAATTCACCCTCGGGCACTGACAACTTCAGCGTCTCCAAATGCTCCAAAAGTCAAGCGACCATCACTGGTACGTACTCGAACAAGCCTAGTCTTTGCATACATTAGAGCCGCTAATTCCGCCTGCAAAAAAAAAAAAAATTACAACCGAACAGTCATTGGCAAAAATCAATGCAGACAAGACTAAATCAACAATTTGACATTGACGCTAAATGTAATGTAGATAAATCTTTTCACTAACTAAACCTGAAGTTTTGCCTCCCTTGAATGGGCATGAGCATTGAATATTTCTATTATAAGTGCCACCCGGTCTAACACAGGTTTTCCCCATTTTCGCTGAAATAACGAAACAAAAATCAACAGCAAAATCAATATGCCAAGACAATCACCATCTTTAAACTGACAATAAAAGTGTTTTTTTTTTTTAAGGAAAAAAAAAACTTGCCTCCAAATTCCTCAGTTGAATCCCACTTAAAATAGCATTTACAAACACAGCATCCACATCATCCTGTCAAAAAGCACACATTATTATTATTATGATGATTATTATTATTTAAAAAAAAATCAAAGAAAAATAACAATCTTGCCTTTGACTCAATTGCATTGAGATGGCACTTAATATCGTCTACAGTTCCAGACCCAAAGTAAGTATCTGCACTTACCAAACAAATTGAATTGAGTTGAATTGAATTAAAGGAAAGCACAGGACTTTAATAAAAATGAAAAGAGAAATAAAAAAATAAAAACCTGATCGAGCTGTAGAGGAACGGAAGATGGGATTTTGAACAAGAATGTGAGGGGGCAAGGGTTTATCGAAGAAATCAGTATGGAAGTAACCATCACGCTGTTCCTCGAGCGAATTGGCGAGGCTGAGAGCTTCGTTGAGCTTGGCTTGAAGGAGAGTATCGGGACGGAGACGAGGCTGCACCACAAAGAGTCGAGGCGGGCTGGCTGGGTCTCTGTTGAAGAGAGAAACGTCTTCATTTTCGTTTTCATTCTTTCTTCGCTGCTTTGAAGACGATGAATGATACGACGACGAGGAAAGAAAACTGGTACTGGTAGCGATGGGGTTGGTTGTTGTTGTTGTTGTTGTTAGGGACTTCAGACGCCACCTTAACCTTACTGCCACTCCTAACATTCCCATGCTTCGCTGCATACACTTGTTTTTGCCCAGTTTTTAAACTCCCAACACATTTAGCGACGGTGATGGGTCAGATTGGATGCAGATACATTCATGACTTTTATTACCAAAATACTCCATAAAATTAGTATTCATATATTTGTTTCGGTTCGTTAGGACTTAACTTTTGTTAGAAAAAACTGTATTTTTAGTACTTAATTTTTTAATTTTTTATTTTAGTATCTAATCCATAATTTCTTTCATTTCAATATTCAAATTTTATTTTTTTCTATTTTGATATCCGCATTTATCTAAAAGTATAAAATATTAAAGTAAGTGAAAAAAAAATTCAAACTTAGATATTGAATTAAATAGAAAAAATTATCCATTGGAGACTAAAATATATATATAAAAAATAAAAATTAAGCACAAAAAATGCAGTTTTTTTTTTTTTTTGTTATTGGTATCGTGATTCTTCAAACTTATAGCGTTGTTGGACAATAGAAATAAAAGTGAAAAAATAAAAATAAAAAGATGGGCATTAAGCCATCAAGGAGTTAATTATAACCTAATTTTATGATTTATCAAAACTAATCAATTAGTTTTTATGGTTTCATAAACTAAATATTTAATTTTCATAAGTTTTAACTTTATTTATAACTTAATTTTTTCATTCATTTCATATTCATATTCATTTCTTTATCTTAAGAAATAAATAAATAAAATATCAAATAATATGAAAAAATTGATGAAAAAAATGCAAACTTTAGAATTTACCATTACATTTTTTTTTTAACTGTTTTTCACATCATACATGTGAAATTATACTTTGATAGCATGACTTGTTACATCCTCATTGGATTTCACAAACATGATTTCTCACTTAAAAAATAATTTTTTAAAAATAAAATATTATTAAATTAAATATAGTCCACATTTATAATGGATTATTTAATTATTTTTTATACTATGCAAACTATTTTTTTTTTTTTTACTAATTAACTTCGGACATTGAATAAGAGGCATTTGTCCGAAGCTCTTGAGAAGCTTAGATGACCCAAATCTCATGGGCACAGCAAAGCTTTCGCCAAATTCTGAAAACATGCATAGCCAACAAAGACCTTTTAACAGGAAAATCCCTCCATACTATCTACCTAAAATCTTTAATACCTTCTTCAACCTATCTCTCCAATCACTTCATCCTCCTTTACTCCAAATGCAACCTGCTAACCACAGCCCACCATGCTTTTAACCAAACCCATGAACCAAACGTCTTCTCTTTTAATGCTCTCATTGCTGCTTATGTAAAAGAGTCACTCATTCACGTTGCACACCAACTGTTTGATCAAATACCGCAACCAGACCTTGTCTCCTATAACACACTCATTAATGCTTACGCGGATTGTGGGGATGCTTTATCTGCGTTGAGGTTGTTTAGAGAAATGAGAGAGATGGGTCTTGCGATGGATGGATTCACTTTCTCTGGAGTGATCACTGCTTGCTGCAATGATGTTGGTTTGATTAGACAGTTACATTCTCTGGGTTTTTTGTCCGGTTTTGATTCTTATGTTTCGGTGAAAAATTCGCTGCTTACTTATTATAGTAAAAATGGGTTTTTGGAGGAGGCTGAAATGGTGTTTCATGGGATGGGAGAGGAGGTTAGAGACGAGGTTTCTTGGAATTCTATGATTGTGGCATATGGGCAGCATAAAAAAGGGCTTAAAGCATTGGAGTTGTATCAAGATATGGTTCATAGTGGTTTTGAAGTTGATATGTTTACTCTAGCGAGTGTCTTAACTGCATTTTCGTGTGTGGAGGATTTGTTTGGGGGCTTCAGTTCCATGCCAGGTGCATCAAAACTGGGTTTAATAAAAATCGTCATGTAGGAAGCGGCTTGATTGATATGTACGCAAAGTGTGGAGCTGGCATGTTAGGATCAAGGAAAGTATTTGAAGAGATTTGTGGGTCAGATTTGGTTGTTTGGAATACAATGATTTCTGGATATGCACAGAATAAGGAACTAGCTGTGGAGGCTCTTGAATGTTTTAGACGGATGCAGCGTGCAGGTTATCGGCCAGATGATTGTAGCTTTGCGTGTGCAATTAGTGCATGCTCTAATTTATCATCTCCGTCTCAGGGAAAACAGTTCCATGCATTGCAAATGAAATCTGAGATCCCTTCAAATCAAATTTCAGTAAATAATGCCCTTGTGGCAATGTATTCGAAGTGTGGAAACCTTCAAGATGCAAGACAATTATTTCAAAGGATGCCAGAGCATAACACTGTGACTTTAAATTCCATTATTGCAGGCTACGCTCAACATGGGATTGGAAACGAATCGCTAAACCTTTTCAAACAGATGCTTGCGGCTGGTATTGCTCCTACAAGTATAACCTTTGTTTCTATCCTTTCTGCTTGTGCACACACCGGAAGGGTTGAGGAGGGCAAGAAGTATTTTAATATGATGACAGATAAGTTTGGGATCGAACCTGAAGCAGAACATTATTCATGCATGATTGATCTTTTGGGTCGAGCTGGCAAGTTGAGTGAAGCTGAGAGGCTGATTGAGACCATGCCCTTTAGCCCTGGATCTGCAGCTTGGGCTGCACTACTTGGTTCTTGTAGGAAATATGGAAATATGGAGCTAGCTGAGAAGGCAGCAAGGCAGTTCATGCAGCTGGAACCTACAAATGCTGTACCCTATGTCATGCTTGCGAGTATGTATTCTGGTGCCAGAAGATGGGAAGAGGCAGCGAGAATTAGAAAGCTTATGCGAGATAGAGGCATAAGGAAGAAACCAGGCTGTAGTTGGATTGAATTAGAGAATAGGGTGCATGTGTTTGTTGCTGAAGATAATTCACACCCAATGATAAAGGAAATTCACACGTACTTGGATGAGATGTGTGTCAAGATGAAGAGAGCTGGGTATGTGCCAGATGTGAGATGGGCTCTTGTTAAAGACGATGAAACAGGGGATCAAGAGAAAGAGATTATGTTAGCGCATCATAGTGAGAAACTAGCAGTTGCATTTGGGCTGCTCTTTACAAAAGATGGGGAGCCTTTACTTGTGGTGAAAAACTTAAGGATATGTGGGGATTGCCACAATGCAATCAAACTTATATCTGCTATTTCTGGTAGAAAAATTACCATAAGGGATGCCTATAGATTTCATTGCTTTGAGAAAGGGCTGTGCTCCTGTGGGGATTATTGGTGATAACAGTTAGCTGAATGTTCAGTTCGTTCACTTCAAGGAAGATCAGCAGGTAATATTAACACCCTAGTGGGCACAACATCAGTGACTCTTAGCTCATTTACAGAAGTTAACCTAGCTTTTTATCGCAACTAACAACCTCAGCTCAAAAACCCAATAACAATTTTGGAGTTATGTTAGCCATACATTGATTTTCCATCATATATGAACAGGTCAAATCAGTAAAATTCAATCATTTCCTTCACTGTGCTCTAAGTGTGCATTAGAATTGATTCAAGATGGTAGATATCCAAAGATTCCAAACTCTTTGTTAAAGCTATTATTCTTGTGTGGCTTGTCAACATTTCAACAGCTTTCTCTTTAATTCATAACAACTGATTTTGCTGTGTTTACTAGTTGCCTTGCTCCCTTAAAACAGTGGAGCACTGTGCAGTCTACAACACTAATCTGGATCTCTCCCTTGGACACACCACTTTGATACTATTATGTTGGGGCGAATGCAGCTGAAGATAAATTTGCACAGAGGCCAAACCGGTTTTTTTTCCCCTTCTTGTGTATATCCTTCCCTCGTCTCTCTGTAGAAATACACTGTACAATTTTTTTCTGTGACAACGTTATATGTTATTCAGATTTCAGAAGCAGCAGCTTGCTGAAAATATCTTATCCAGTCATGGAGAAAATTGGAAATCAAGTGATGTTGCATCTCTCTCTCTTCTCTTTTCTGTTAGAAATTAATCTTTACTTTCACATCCAATAGAGATAGTAAAGCAAGTCAAAGCAACTAGATGTATTTGTTTTTTATTTTTGGATATTGATCACTTATTTAGTTTTTTGTAACCAAATGTAAACTCAGTATAGATCTTGATGCAAAATATGAAGACATAAAACTCAATTCTGAACAAACAAAAAGAGGCTCTTACTATAAGTTTCAATAGAATATGGGGATAATTACCAAAATCCCTTTGTAAAAAAAATTATTGTCTTTATCAAGGCCCCAACATTCAACAGCCAGCTAGCTCTCAATCTTTTTTCCTTCACTTTCTTTCACATTAAGTAATTCATAATTTATTCATAAAAAAGAAAAAAGAAAAAAAGAGTTATTGGTTAGTTACAGATGTAAAGCCAACATTCCAGATGTTTCAATTTGGAGTGCCACTAAGAGTAAAAGCATCAGGAATCTGATTTTATTCTGGTCTTCTCCTAGAAGCAGCTCAACCTTTTGCACTAGTGTTTCATGCTCCCACTTCATCGATTGTTCTTGCTATAAATCAGTACACATATGGATACTCCCATACTGATATTAGCCAAAGAGTATTGTGCAAAGAAAAAGAAAAAGGTGAGATATTTGACATCAAATGGGATTGGAGTATAGATGCTGTGGAACTGGTTTCTACAGTCGAATAGCAGTTGTAACTTTTCTGGTATTGTTTGCTGGGATGGTGTCTGGACTTACGTTAGGACTAATGTCTATGAGCCTTGTTGATCTTGAGGTTCTTGCCAAGTCTGGAGCGCCTAATGATCGTAAACATGCAAGTAATTATACATTGTTTGTTTCATTTGCACATGACTATGCACTAATTAATTTACTTAGAATTAATTAATTTCTTCTAATGCATAGCTTTTTCTATTTATTGTGTACTGTTGCTTGTGTTTAAGGCCAAAGGAAAACTATTAATTTCTTTCTCAAAATAAGACTAGAACCATCCTCACATTTGGATATATTTTTGTACCAACAAACAAGGTGAGTAAATTATAGAGCTGGAATTTAAAAAAATATGATTATATGCATGTGTTCTTTTTTTTTCTTTTTTCTTTTTTGTGTAATTTTTTATATGAAACATCAAATTCTTATCAGTAGAACTATATCTACAAGTTAGATATGATCTGTACTTCACTTATTTAATAAATGGATATATACTTAAATATCACAAAGATTGGACAAAAATCTTGTTGATTTTAAAACAAAGAGATGCTTACGAGTGGAAAGAAGGGACAAAAATAAAGATTTCATTAGACAGACATCTGTGATACTTTTGTTTGATTAATCAACATCCATCGTATGGAGATTATTTCTTGATTGTTAATTTTCATAGAGAGACTGAGATCAAAATCATACAATTGTTTACTGCTGGTGTGTTTGTAACAGCAAGAATATTGCCAGTTGTTAAAAGACAGCATCTGTTGCTTTGTACCTTACTAATCTGCAATGCTGCTGCAATGGAGGTAATGATCAACAATAGTGCTGTCAACACTAATTTCGTTAAATATCCTCTAGGGTTTAAAGTTATTTGATTTCTTAACTGGTTTTTCTTGCAGGCACTCCCCATTTTTTTGGATAGTTTGGTATCAGCTTGGGGTGCCATTCTTGTCTCAGTGACCTTGATACTGTTGTTTGGTGAGGTTAGTTTCATGCCTTGGACCAAACTAGGTTTTGTGTGTGTGTGTGTGTGTGTCCGATCTCCAACCGTTGCACCAGAATGTTGAGTCTGTAGATAGATATGCTGCTGTTAATTTGTGACAACTATATTATCGAGGCCTTTTCCCCCTTTAATTAGAATTTGACTGTTGAGCCACACAGGACCACCCTTGGAGCTCTCACAGAGTTAACAGCTTTATTGCTTTACACATAGCATTTATAGATGCATCCATATCTTTCAATTGGGGTTCTTAAAGCAAATGGGAGCCAAGGCCATTATTCTAGATAGTTTTCCTGCGAAGAAATCATTCATTGTCATTCTTATGTAACCTTGCCCTTATTCAGTCGAGGTGTAAACTGATTGGAATCTGCAACTTTTTACACAGATTATACCCCAAGCTATTTGTTCTCGGTATGGTTTGGCAATTGGTGCAGCATTGGCTCCAGTTGTCCAAGTTCTTGTCTGGATTTGTTTTCCTATTGCATATCCTATAAGCAAGGTGAAAATTTTATGCTTTCCAAGACAAGTATTTTTTTCTCTTACGTTGGCACTAGACCTTCTGAACTGGAAATGAGAGTTTTCACTTTATATATGATTTGATTGTGTGAGGATTCATTCTTCTGTTGATATTTGACCAGCTACTGGACTTTTTGCTCGGGAAAGGAGACATGCCTCTTTTCCGCCGATCTGAGTTAAAGACACTTGTTGACTTTCATGGTTACGAGGTATATATGATCATGCTCATCAACATCAAAGTGTTCCTATTCCTCAATTATCAGTGCTATTAATTTATAATTATCGTCAGTAGTAATTATGGCAAAAACATTGGTTCTAGGGATGCATATTGTTATTTAATTGGACATTCTTATTGTTTACATTTTGTTAGACTATCCATTCTGCTTACTGATGACATGCAGGCTGGAAAAGGAGGAGAGCTAACACATGATGAAACAACGATCATTGCAGGGGCACTTCAACTCATGGAGAAAACAGCAAAGGATGCAATGACTCCCATATCCGAAACCTTTTCTGTTGATATAAATGCTAAACTTGATAGGTATGATGAATTTTTGCCAAGCTAACGCAGTACAAAGAATTGGTTTCTTGCGAACGACATGTAAATTTATTGAGTGTTATTGTGCAGGGCTTTGATGAGGTTAATTTTGGAGCAAGGGCACAGCAGAGTGCCGGTTTATCATGAGCAACCGACAAACATAATTGGACTTGTATTGGTAAAGAACTTACTAACTGTCCATCCAGAAGATGAGGTTCCCGTGAAGAATGTCACTATTCGCAAAATTCCAAGGTAGTCCATTATTCCTGAGAGTAGATTATCGAGTGTTAGTGTATATTGATGGCTGTAAACAAATGAATATAGACAAGTCTCTGTGTGGGTGGGTGCATTTCTAGTGGCCACTGTAAATACCATTTCTCTCTCTCTCTCTCTCTCTCTCTTTTCTTTTGCTTCTAATAAGAATCTGAAGTAATAAGAATCTGAAGAAATGAACATATTGGTCTGACAATAATATTCCAGCAGAAACTTGCTGGGAGGGGTGACAGAAGCTGGGAAACGATGAAATTGAAGCTTTCTTCCTAGAATCCAACAAAAAATTAAGATGTATTAAAAACCTAGATATTAATTAGTTTCCTGAGCTTCTATAAATGCTAGTTATATTCTCTTTTACTCAAGTACATCAGAGTTTGGAGTGTAAGATCTTAAAACAAAACACTTGTATTTAACCAGATTAATTATGATACTGGAAGGTCTGCTATAGCTGGTTCAAAGGAATTATTCAGTACATTTAAAGGTACGCAACATGAAGATACTGATGGTTGTTCATGAGATGTTTTATGTGCCAGGGTTTCAGAGTCAATGCCTCAATATGACTTACTAAATGAGTTTCAGAAAGGTCATAGCCATATGGCTGTGGTCATAAGACAGCACAGTGACACAAAGCAAGCAGCTGGTGAAAAGGCAACTCATGGTAAAATCTGATTTGTATTCCCTTCTTTTGCTGTTTCGCTGAAAATCTTTCCCCATAAGTGGCTCCTATTCCTTGATATATGCATTATAATACAGAGAGAGACGTGAGGGTGGACATTGATGGTGAAAGGCATCTATCCAAGAAAAGTTTGAAGAATAAAGGGATCAAGAAATTGAAGCGTAGTTTGTCTGAAGAAGAAAATTCGAAGAGCGAAGCCTACAAGAGCAAGAAATGGGCAAATGGTGTCCACTCAGAAGTCTTGCACATCGATGACAACCCACTCCCTGGGCTTACCGAAGAAGGGGAGGCGATTGGCATAATAACACTAGAAGATGTCATTGAAGAGCTGCTACAAGTATGTGATTCTACTGTGTTTCTCGTGCCTGGAAACTTAATTCTAAGTTCATTCAAAGTTTTTGTAACCCTGATGATTTTTGCATGTAGGAGGAGATTTTCGACGAGACAGATCATCGTCAGGAGTACAATCATTAACTTGAATACCTTCCAGGACGAAGTACATACTCTTCTGTGATAAGCATTATATCAAAGGGGTCAAATGAATTTGATGCTGGCACTTTGCAGGAGAGTGAATGAACAAAATCAAGAGGTGGTAGCTTCTCATCTATTATTTATATAGTGGAATTCATGTATGGTCTTATAGCCTAGAGAGAGATCAAAGACTGATTCAGAAGAATCAGGACTAGCTTCAAATCTTTGGTCGGCGTTTATAACAGTAGTTTCAAATGTTTTCCTTTTGCGTTTCTTGTTTGCTTGTCAAATCCAAGGATAAGTTTGGCCATTTCCTTTATTCTTTGTTGAGTAAAAGAAATGAATACTGCAAAAAAAGGAGTAAATTATAAATTAGTCCCTTTCTTTCAAAAAATGAATTAATTAGTTTATCTGGTTTTAAAAATTAATTATTTAGTTTTTTTAATCAATATTAATCACGCTTAATTTAATTTTTGTTTTATTTTATAAAATACATTCTTTTCTTATCAATTTTTCACATTTTTACTTATATTTTATTCATTTTTTAAAAAAATAAAAAATCAAAACAAATTGAAAATAGCAAAAATGTTTAAATAATTAGTTTTTCAAAAAAAAAAAAAGACTAATTAATTCTATTCTCAAAGTGAGAGGGGACTAATTTATAATTTACTCAGCAAAAATGATTGTCGTTGCAAAACACTCTTACGACTTGTGATATTAACAAAAAAAAAAAAAAAAATCTCCCGCCAAAATTTGGTGACTTTCCCTTCTTCACAATTTTCTCTCTCTTCCTTTCTTTCATGTGTCGACAACGGGGATTAATAGCAAATTTGGATTTTATAATCTTAATATTTTCTTAATGTAGTTCTTCTATTATTTTTAATGTGATCATTTTAATAAAGTTTTGATCAATTTTTTGATAATAAGTGACGGGTAAATTATCAAGTCAAATTATAATGACACGTTTTGAAAATTTTTAATTTCAAAAAATGAAAAAAAATAAAACTAAAAAAAATTTTTTTCAAATTTTTTTTTTTTTGACACATTAAGTAACTATTATCCGATGTAGCAGTCCACCTATCATTTATTGTTGATAAAATGACTAGAATCCAATCAAAGAAGTTACATTAAAAAAAATATCTGGAATAAAATGAATCATATTAAAATAATTAAAAAATACAGAGATGAAATATGCAATTATGGTATTAATCCCTAAACTCCGTATGATGTGACCCTCAACCGGAAAGCTTGGAGCGTTGGATTTAGGGATGGCAAAGTGACATGTCTTGATGGGGACTCAAAAAAAAAGACTTGGAGGTTTTTGCCTTTTGATAAACGCTTTGGGATAAGGATAGGAATGACAACAGATCTATATAAAACGAATATTCAAGATATGTGTTTTATTTAACCTAATAAATATTTATTAAAAATATTTAATGGATAATAAAATAGATAAAAATTAAAAAAATACTTACTCATTAATATGATTTTAGGGTATAAATATTTATTTTTTATCCTATTAATATTCATTAATTTATTTTGATTTTTTTAGTAATATATAGGGATCTAATTGTATAAATTTTAAAATTAATGATCAAATATTTTTTCAAAAATTTTGATGTCCAAAAAACTTATAAAGAAATTACCGAAATGTAAAAAAAAAATATTTAAGGACAAAAAACTTTTTTTTAACATTATAAGGAATAAAATAAATATTTTTGATAAATTATTTTTAAAAAGACATTAAATAGATATTAAGTGGAAGGGTGATTTAATATGGACTGTGCATGGATTGAATAAAAATTACAGGGTGAAAAGGATAATGGATAGAGATATTCTTTTTATAAATAAAATACTCGTTTATTGCCGTCCCAACGTAGGCATGAAAGTGGAGAATATGTTCTTTGTCTTAACTTAGACTTCCTTTTTTACCCCTTGTACTCGTAGACAAGGAAATTGCACTGGACTTTTGAAAAAAAAATGTCAAATACTCAAAGTACATCACTTCCCATTTCAAGGACAAGATTGTAACTCAACGAACAAGAGGGACCAAACTTGACTCAACTTGTGTGTTCATAAATTAGCAAATTGTGGTACCGACCACGACAATTTGTGAGGCGCGTAGTTTTACACCAAGATTATTTAGAGTTTTGTTTATTTGTAGTTATTGTAATATTCTTATGAGATTTATCTTCCTAATTAGTCTAATTAGTTTAGCACTAAACAATTATTTTGGGATTGCGAGTAAAGACACTTAAATTCTAAATAACACAATAATTATTATTATTTTATACAATTTATATTGAATTAAATCGATGGAAATTATGCCAAGAATCAATAATTCAACATGGTAACTCTCGCTTATAAATTAACAAACAAAAAAGACGTGTTTGACAAATAAAAAAATTGAAATGCGACATTAAGAAAATAATTCGAGCTCGAAAAAATTCATACCTACATGCGGTTGTGATTTTCGTTAGCTATTTCCTAGCTCATAATCACACAACTAATAATTAGGGAAATATTCAAAATAATTAAAAGAATACCTAATGATTTCTTGGTTGTTTTGTACAATTCCTACATAACAAAAAATAATTATTATTATTATTATAATAGAAAACAAAAGATCAAATCATTGAAATATTCAAAAAAATTAAAAGGAAACAAAAAAATCAAATTATTCATATTAGTGCACTATACAAAATAATTAAAAGAACATCTAATGTTTTTTTTTAAATGCAATTCCTATGCATCACAAAAACAAAAACAAAATAAAAATAATTAAAATTTATCGGTTGCATTGGCATCACCACTCGACTTAAATTCAAAGGGCATATGATTCAAAACCAACTCCATAGTTTTGCATGAATAGATACACAAATGATAACATCAAGAAATTCAAAAGTATTTCCGTTCAATTGTAGAACTATTTCAAACTATCTGGCAAGCTAAGATCAATTGTCGTCACAGAACTAGTTTATATATAGCATGCCCTTTATCGTTTTTGACATTACAAACATACCCTTGACATTGATGAACAAGGAACTTACATAAACGAGCTGGCTTTTGTTGACAGTATTAAGCCTCTTTGATTTTTGGCACATCTTATGCGTCAGTTAACAGGAGGAGCTCTATACGTAGCAGGAACAGTGGCAGGGAAGAACATTTGCCTCACTCCCTCCGCTTTGATAATTGGGAAAATAATGCCAGATGCACTCTGTTAAAATAAAGCACAAATTCCGTGAGAATGGGAGAAAAATATCAAGCATATTCTTTCTTCCCACTATCTCAAAGTTTCGAAGAGTGCAAATTAGTTGAGACGGCAAAACCATAACATGCTCAATTATAATACAAAGGTGCATGTATGTTCATTATTAACTGTAAGTTGTAAGAAGTTCATTTGATTAGAAATCACATTCCACGATAAGAGGAGCTGCTGCATTTTCTATTGTGCTCAATTATGTTCCAAAAATCATATGAAAACAGAATGAGACTTCAGTAGCATGTCTACGACCTTCGGTAAGGATTTAGGGAATATGGAAAGCACCAGTATTATCTCGACTGCAAGATTTCACCACTAAACTTACAAATCCTTTGCATGACACATTTTCCTTCTTTTTTTCCTGCATATAAAAAAAAGGCTATGATCATCAATAGCCAAAGGGTAGAAAATACTCACCGAAATTAACCTCGCTCCAATCCACATGCCTTTAGGTGATGGGAATGGAAGTAGCAGACGACCAACACCATATATGGCAACCGCAAAGAAATGAAGGACCAAACTCAGTGGACGAGGGTTTAGACCAGACAGTAATGACACAGGTCCTGCCGAGAAATTACCCCCAAGGCTTAAATAGTCAAAACATGCTTGGCGCATTTCCTTCCTTGCCTCATCAGGGGAAGCAGAGAAAACTTTATACAAAGCACCAGCTAGAGTATTTATCGTAGATGCAACTGGCTGCAAGAAACAACAATTTAACGTAATAGGTTGAAATGTACTATTTCACAAATTACATTTTTGCTTCTCTCATGTTCAAGCCTTTCACTTCATGTTCTAATAAAAAAAAAAAAAAACAAAAAACAAAAAACAAAAAAAAAAACAAAAACAAAAACAGAGACCTTTTCAAATCATGAACATAACTGCTCCTTTAATGTGCAAATTATTTACAGCATGCAATTTCAAGCAATCAGTGGTCACAGCTTATGTTTTTTCTTCATTACTTCCAGTCATCATGCATAGTCCAGACAGAACTTCAGATAACTACAAAGAACATGTCACTTAGACACAGTGCTTGATCATAATGATATTTATGGTAGACATATTTAGCTTACCTTGCGCAAGGTGTAAAAGGATTCAAGATAGTTGGTCAATGAAGCTGCATCATTAAGGTCACGAAGTGGTTTTAGAAGGTCACGAAGTACAAGAATATCAGACAATGCCACAGTCATCCCACCACCAGTTAATGGATGACGCATGTTGAAAGCATCACCCATCAAAAGTGCTCCAGGAGTAGGATGCGGTTCAGCTGGCATGCTTCTATTTGGCATGGTCCTGATATTACCTTTATCTATAGCAGATATGAAGGCATCACGAAGCTCAGATGGAACCTGAAACAGTCTCTCTTAGTTAAAGCCAGACAAAAGCAAACGGCCAAAATGTGTTATCTTTAACCAAAAGCATGTAACAAGGATAATGTAGGGAATTCAGAGAATAACTCCTAATACAATATGGTTGCCAATCATATTTGATTATTCAAAATCATGTGATGACATCAACAGGTAGCAAACTTCTTACCTAGACTGTTAAAAAATGAAAAAAATATATACCTGTGGTGCAACCATGCTCTTTAAATAATTGGCCATTTCACCATTAGCAATGGAAGGCACTTTTTGACCAGGTACATCAACCAAACAGCGAATCTCTGTGCTGCTAATTGGATAAAACAAAATTGGTGATGGATCAGCTAGAATAACATGCCCATGATTTTGAAACGGAAGTTGACAGTTCTCCAGGATCAAACCCACAAAACAAGAAGGCACATCAACCTGTCAGAAAGTCAAAATGATATATGTTGGTCTTAGTAGAGAAGTCTGAATCAAGAAAAGCCAATGCCAGTTGAGAGATTATAATTTGTTAATCAAAGTAAAAATTTTACAATTTGCTTCATTCTTAATGATCGCATTCATATTTGACAATCAAGAGATGGTGTCATCACCTTAGGGTTGCATAGAGAACGGCGCAGATTTGAGAAGCAGCCATCACACACAACTGTAAGAGGGGCATAAGCCCTAAGTTCTTGACCATCCTTAGTTTTGTATTGAACCCCCTTAATAGTCCCATTTTCTTCAAGCAGGGATGTGACTGTTCCTTGTTCTAGTCTTACACTGAATGATGGGACAGTGAATAGAAAGATACAAAAAGATTCAATAGCTATTAAGCGAAACGTAAAAGCTTTAGAATGATTGAATGAATAAAAAATATGAAACATTCATTAGCACAACTTTGAACTCGGTTATTCACTATTACTACTATTGATTAACCAGGAAAGCATCCATATGACTCAATAGTAAGGAGGAGAAACTATACTTGGGAAGGGTGGTGGCCTTTTCTCTCATCCTCTGAATGAAGCGTCCATTATGGAAGCTTCTTCCAGAAACATCGTCATGGAATTTTTCCAAAGGGTATGACAATCTAGTACTCTTCCCATCCTTGAAGAGAGCATATCCAAGCACTCGCTGAGCATCAATTTCCTCCACACAATCTGCATTCGGAGAGAATGCTTTACATGCTTACACCCAACATTAATTTCAGAAACTAGAATCTTTTAATCCAAATCCAGCTAATTCTGAATTGCAAAGCAGATAGCTTGCAACATCTGAAATAATCTCTCTCTTTTTTCACATCATAAAAAGATACTACAGGATTGAACTTATGTATACACTTTAAAAATCATACCTTCAAGGCCTAATTCAATTAATTTTAGATATCCTCCAGGTTGGAGCAGTTCACCAACAATTCTGTCTGGCTCTTTCAAATCTCTTTCTATCACATGAACACGCCTTCCATCCTGCAGTGTTGAAATTGAGCTTTTAGTTGAAGGTCTTTGCCCTGGTAGGAGTAAAAAAAAATGTGTGTGTGTGTCTCTGTATATATATATATATATATATATACAGAGACACACACACTCTTAGAAAAAGATGTAGTGTTTCAAAATTGAGGCAAATCAAAATCTAGTTGAATGGTCATGGGGTTAGATTTCAATTTCTATAAAACGAAATAAAGACAAGATTACTTAAGCAATAACTTCAACTGAAAATGTCCAACCACCAATTCGACTAGTTTGGACCTAATCTTGTTAATCAATTCAAGTTCCAAATCCACCAAACCATCTCAGCTGCATCCACAGACTTGATATTAGTCAACTTTAATGTGAGCTTAACTTTTCATAAGCATTAAAGACTTTGCCAAACCACCACTATCATTAACAAGTAACCATAAATCCTGTTACCTAATCTAACACACAAGTGCTCTTCACATAGATTGCGTCATCAAACTACAAAACAGAAAATCAATTTTACTTCAACCTAACAAGTTAGCATGACAATAAGACAAGCAAAGCACCACTAAAACATGATGACGTAGAAAACACAAAAAGATACATATACAACAAGTCAAGGAAGGCGTGCAAATTCTTAAGAACTAAAAACAATTTTCAGTCTTCTCCTCCTCCCTTTTGAGCAAAGCAAGGATTTAGTGATCCTGAATTAGCTAAAATCCCAAAAGAAAACCAAGTACTAGAAGTTCAGCAAAAGAAGCAACAAAAAAGAAAAACCCAGATGCCAATTCAACGAATAAAACACAATGAACTTATATGATTCAAAAAGAAATCAAAATCTAAGACTGCCAGCATAGCATTGAGAATTACCATTAACAACTTTAGAAATCAATTTGAATTGAAACAATGAAATTAAGAATTATGCGTACCTTGCCAAGAGTATAAGCCAAGGCAGCACCAGCCACACCAGCACCAACAATGATGACGTCATCACCAGAGGGGAGGCTCCATTTTGATGCCTCCGCACAGACACCGCGCTATCGTTCTGGGTCTTCAACGTTGTTTTGTACTTTATCTTATTCTTATCTCTCTTCCGGATATTTTGGCGGAAAATGTAAAAGAAAAGAAAGGCAAAGAAAGTGCCAACAAGAATGCTGTGGTTATCAATCACCACCGCCATCTTCTTTATATAATTATTATGACAATGAAGCACAGAAGAAGATGAAGCCATAATTGGTTCTTGAGAAACTTCTCTCTTGTTGAGTGTTTTTGGATTGGTGGTTCTTGAAGAGGATACGGAGGAACTGCTGATAGAGATTTTAGAAGTTGGCGTTTTGTAGAGCCAAACTTTTATTGTGTGGTGATGGTGAAGTGGCAGCCTGGCGAGCTGCAGACTCATAACTTTTATGGTTCGGTTTTAATGGTGGTTGGTTTCCTGCATTTTTCGTGTTGTTCGTTTTTTTTTTTTTAATTTTTTTAATGGGCTTCGACTTCGAATATTGGAACCTCGTTGAGTACTATGATAGCATATATTCTAAGCGTTCCTGCGAAATGAACTATATAACATTATTATGCTTGAGGTGAGTTACGTTGTATTTTTATATATTTATTCTTGTAAAATATAAAATTTAAAAATAATTATTTAAAAAGATTATGTTAAAAAAATTCAAAATGAGTTATATATCTTAAATAATTATTTAAAAAGATCGCATAAAAAAATTTAAAAAAAATTAAAACATATATCTCGTATTTTACTATAAGATTAACTAAACGAAAAATCTGAAAAGTTAAATAATATAATATTACTAATTAAATATTGTTTGATATAAACACGTATTTTATTAAAAATATATATAGTAGCTTGGTAATGAAAATAATGGTGTAGTAATTTTTTAAATTTTAGATGATTGATTTTTATCATATATTCTTCATCTATAATTTGTTAATAAGATAAAGAGATCATCCAAAACAAAAAGACAAAAAAATTTTGTCAAATCGAGAATTTGATTAAAAAAATAGAGATAAAATTACACATGATAAAAATTAAATGATCATAACTAAGTAAAGATCATAAAAGAATGATCAAAATAAATTTAAAAAAAATTCACTAAAAACAAAAAAAAATTATAAAGAATAAGACTATGCACAGTTTTACTAAAAGCCAAGAAAAAATATTTATTATAAGGATAAAAATTTAATATAATAAAAATTTTAATAACTAAAATAAAATAAGTTACAAAATAGGGGACTAAAAGCCAAAAGAGGGGCTTAAAAAATGTAGCAAGAGAGAAAAAACTGATTTATTATAGAAAAAAATCAAATATAATAAAACTTTAATGATCGACATTAAAAAATGTTACAAAACATGGATTAAAATGTAAAATTTATTAAAAGCCAAAAAAAAGGCTTAAAAAATGTGTCAAGAGAAAGGGAGGAAAATAAAAAACCTAACTACAACAAGCAAACCGAAAAAAAAAAAAAAAAAAAAAAAAAAAAAAAAGGTGTCAGGCCTTGGCTGCTGGGTTCGACCCAAAAAAAAATATATATATATATATATATTGTTTATTAAACAGTGAAAGAAACAATGACAATAAACAGTGAAAGTAACTTGTGTTTTAGAATATTAGTAATCTCTAATTTATTAAATTTGTTATATATCTTTAAGATCGTCTAAAATACTTAATTTTGATTCACATACAAAATGGTTAAATAATAATATTACTATTATTAATAAAAATCCATGGAAAAAAATAAAATTGTTGAAGCCCTATTTATTTATTTACGTAATTTTGTTGGTCTTGTTGTTAAAGAGATTTACTATCTTCTTTAATTTTCTATATTTAAACTTTAGCATCATCGTTCAAAAAAATTTATTAAATTTTTTAAAATATAAATTTAAAATAATTTAAAAAGGATTTAATTTTAAATGACGGGCAAACTAGTTAGAAAATATTATTCCCATCAACAAAAAAAGAACCATGCATTAATTTATTACCATTCTTGTTTCCAGACTTATAGTAATTATATATATACAATCGCCAAAATTTGACATCATGAAATTTTTTAAATGTACATTTTTGTCCTTACACATTTTTAAAACTTTTACTTTGATCCTTTTACTTTATTTTTCTGTGTGCCCCACTACTAGAAATGTGAAAAAAAAAAAAAAAAAGAGTTTATTGCATATTTGATGTACAAATTTGTCAACTTTTTTATTTGAATACTTAAATTTTAATATTACTATTTGAATATACCAACTTGCGAGTTTTTTTCTATTTAAGTAGTTTGTTAACTCTAAGCTAATATGTATGTTAATTGCACACATGGTAACATGTATGTTCTATTGTCAAACGTGTGGCAACTACAAATTTCACATAAACAAACCCAAATTAAAAATTCAAAACAATTATTTAACAAATGTTTGTATAAAAAAAAAATTACTACTACAAAAATAAATATATAAAATTAAACAAGAAACTTCTCTAATCAACTCATCTTAATTACCCAATCCAGATACAAGCCATACTTTATTTTAAATTGAAATCCAAATTTTACATCATTATCTTTCAAACAATCATCTCACTATTATTATATAATTAAAAGATGAAGAGGATTTGAATAGTGATTTTCACTGTTTTTTTCATCATCAATTACTATTCACCTATTGTAGTTAGATTTTTTTTTTTCTCTCTCTCTCTCTCAAGTTGTTCTCTCTCTTCTCTTTTGTAAATTGCCCATGCCACTTGTCTGATAGCCCAAAAAGCAAGTGTTGATGATCTAGTTGATTTTTAGCTTCCACTTTCTTTTCTTTTTTAGCTTTACTAGAGATAGTACAAGAGGAATATGTGACAGGGATTATTGCCTTAGTCTTTGATTAGCCTTTTATTATAGAAGATTGCTTTGGGAATCAATATGGTGGGGTTTAATGAAAAACCGTTTCACGCATACTGGAGAATCTAGCTGATGTACTACACATATATTTTTTTTCCTTTTATTTTTTTAATAAATTTATGTTCTTTTTCTCATTTAATTAAGTGTTAAAATTTTAAAAAATCAATTGTTGTTTTTTTCACATAAACTAACGATTATATATATAGATTTTAGAATAAATATATGCTATTCTTATTGTTTAAAATTAATATTTTCAATTTATTATAAAAAAAAATCACATCAAGTTAATTTTTATTCTTATTTTCATATAATTTTATTTATTAATAAATACAATTTATTTTCTCTATTTATGAATTTGAATAAGTTTTTTTTATACCTTTTTTTATTTGCTTAATTCTTATACGAGTCAAAGTGGCCTTTTAATTTATGCTATACATTCTCATCCATTAAGTATGGTCATGATGTATAAAAATAATAATATTAGAGTCATTGATTTTATTAGAAATCAACTATGCATCTACACACAATACTAACTATTTGCTATTATTTTTTTAGTATTTTAAAATTGATTTTTTTAAATAAAAAAATAAAATAATATTTTAGAATAATCGCCTAATAATTCAAATACAATTACGTATACTAATATTATTCATTATTTTATAAATAAAAATATATAAATTAAATGTACATATTTTTTAAAAAAAATCTTTTCATTAGTACAAGCTTCATTTGTTAATCTTCATACAAGTTTTTATATTAATTGTTGTTGTATTTCTTCGATGCAATGTCATGAAATAAAATATTAAGATGTTTTTTTTTAATTTGTTTATTATGGGTTTTTATTTAAGAATAAATGCATAAGAAAGAACAAATCATATTTTTTTACTTCAAAATTTATTCAAAACATATATATATATATATATATACACAAAATTTTAATTAAGTATTATAAAATTAGATAAAAAATTATCTTTTGTATTTAATTTAATATATTTTAATTAACTGATAATATAATATATGTTATCAAACTAAAATAAATATATTTAGTTCGAGTCCGTAGTGTAGCATCGGAATCCGAACTCGCTCATATGCCTAAAATTCCTATTCATTTACTCTTTATATGCATAAAATTACTATTTACTTTATGACAATTTAAGTAATTTTTGTGTGTGATTTTTTTTTTTTTTGGGCATTGATATGCAAATTTAACACTTTTTTTCTATTTTCGTCTCTCAAGTAGTAACATTTTTTTCAATCCTCAACTTTCTTTCTTTTTTTTTCACTTCCATCTAGCGTATATATATTATATTTTAAAATTAACAACAACTTCAACTTATATTACTCTTAAATATAATTTTTTTTCTCTATTTTTGAATTTTAGAATAAAATTTAAAAAACATGATTTTTTTTCTCAAAAAATAAATTGATATAATATATATATCATGAATTCTTAGAATTTTTAAATGATAATTGCATATATATAAATATATAATTATTTTATTCTAAGACGTTAAAAGTGTATTTTAAATAATTTATCTTAGTTTATGCATGGTCAAGACGTATAAAAAAAACTATTAAATTATTTTTTTATTAAAAATAACTATACATCTTCCAATATAATACAAATTATTTACTATGAATATTTTTTTAACACTATAGAACCAATTTATTTAAAATAAAATAATTAAAATATTTTTTTAAAGGAACTGACCAATTATTCAAATAGAGTTTTTTATGCTAATTTTATTGATTATTATTTTTAAATAAATATATAAAGATGAAATGCATATACTTTAAAAAAATAATCCTCTCGTCAACATTAAATAAAAATAAAATTTTATTTTTCATTATTTAATTTTAATGCAAGTTTATACATTAACTATAACTTTATTTTTTACATACATTCTTGTGTGTGTGTGTGTGTGTGTAAAGTATTTTTTTTTGAATTCTTAATTAATATTTTAGGTTTAAATTATTATAAATTTTTATTTAAGAATCCCTAAATAAAAAAGAATAATTTATGTTTTTTTAAGCAAAAATTTGATGAAAAACACAAAAAAAAAAAAATAGTAATAATTAAATAAAAAATTAATGAAAAAAATTATAAAATTTTAAAATAATTTTATTCTATCCGCATGTAGTGTTTTGCGAGATAATTTTAAAAATTAATCTTCTCATCAGCATTAAATAAAAAAAATCATTTTTTAATTTTTATAAAAATCTATCCATTAATTATAACTTTATTTTTTGAAATATAATATTATGAATAATATAATTTAAAATTTTTTATTAATATTTTAGTTAAAATTATTAAAAAATTTTATTTTAAAATCAATCTAT